GGGGGAGAAAGAGAGGGAGAGAGAGGGGGAGAGAAAGAGAGAGAAAGCGAGATAGAGAGAGACTGTGCGTACTTAAGTTGATTGGGTTTTGTAGTCTAAAGGGGAAAAGGGACACAGCATTCACTCAAATGAATTCACATTAGACCACAGAGGACGTGACCCTAAATTGACTGGTTCAAATCCCCAAACTGGCCTTTTGGAATCGGAACTGTTTGGGACATGTTCACCACTTTCTATCCTTGTATTCAGATCCTTAATCTAATCAGGGGCATTATATCTACATGTATAAGGGTTACAGAAGCAATCAGATTTCCGCAGGTAGAGAAAGCAATGGTTTATTCTGATGGGGCGTTAGCGGGTATCAAAATACATTTAATTCGGGGTAGTGTGACACAGCAAGCATGATAAACTGAGTATCTTTGTCACGGGGTGCTCTCTCTCTCTATCTATCTATCTCTCTCTCTCCCTCCCTCTCTTCTCCCCTCTCTCTCCCTCTCTTCTCCCCTCTCTCTCCCTCTCTCCTTCATATGAAAAAAAAATTATTGATTTTGACTGACTCCAGAGTAACACAACATATCTTGCTTTATCTAATAATGACAAATCAAAACAAATAGCATTTGCATAACGCATAATCCCCGCTCAGCAGCTCAGCTGCTCAGTGCCAAGCTCAGTGCGCTCACAGTCCATAACAATAATGTTATCCAGGCAGAGCCCAGAATACTCAGAAGTAATCTCGGCTTCCCGGGAGTCATAGATTTAGTGCAAGCAACCGGCTACGCGCTCAAATATAAACTGACGAGATTTGTCACCGTCCATTGACAGGTGGGGCCTACCCATTCCCAGTAACTGTTTTGTTGGGGGAGGGGTATTTTTTCTATTTTGGCTTCGTTCCGTTTATTTGCTGTTGTTGATGTTTTTGCTTTTTTTTTTGCTTTTATTATGTCTTTTCCAACAGTGTTGCTTCACCCCAAAACAAGCGCAAATGCGTTTTTAAGGGGAAGGAGTTGGTTTTGTTTTGTTTTGTTTGTTTGTTTATTTGTTTTTCTATGTCACAAAATTTTGCTAAGGCTGATTTTATCAAGGTTAGTTTTAAGCGGCCACATCTCGGGCGAACCCTTGTAGATGTATTCTTAATGTGTTAGATGATGCAGAATTTATTTAGCTTTAAATTGCTATGCTGCATGAGTGAGTAGTGCAAGGCTTGACACGATAATTGGATGAATACATTTTCACATTTCTTTTGGACGCCACTGTATAGTATACATTGTATCATCATAATATATATTATAGGCTTGCAATATATACACACACTATATAATAATGAAATTTTAAAACATACTCTTATGTGTATGTAGATGTGTGTGTATGTGTATGTGTATGTGTGTGCGCGTGCGCGTTTATGTGTATGTGTGTGTGCGTGTGTGTATACAGGTATGTTTGGGTGTCTGTGAAACTGAAAGTGTGTGAGTGTGTGTGTGTGTGTGTGTGTGTGTGT